CGAGCATGGATTATGGGACTTGCAGTATCTTCGCTCAATTCCTGAGACCACTGCAACCATCATCCAATTTCCGATAAGGACCAAACTTGGCACACCGGGTCTCCATGATGCACTCTACATCCTGGTGCGGTTTGGAGGATGATGCACCATGGACGATGGGACTTGCAGTTCCTTCACTCACTTAGTGAAACTACTGAGACCCTCATCCAATGACTGATGAAGACCAAACTTGGCACACAGAACCCCCATTACCCACTTTCTCTAATAACCCGGGCAACGCCGGGTCCCCAAGCTAGTATATAATAAAAGTGAATGTTTGTTTGTATGTGGAGTGACACACCTGGACCAAACTTGCCACACATAACCCCCATGAATCCCTTTACATCCTGACCCACTCTACATCCTGGTGCAGTTTGAGGGAGGATGGATCATGGATGATGGGACTTGCAGTACGTTAAGTCACTTCCTTAGAGCACTGTGGCCCACACCAATGACAGATACAATACCCTTTTAAAATAACCCGGGCAACGCCGGGTACCCAAGCTAGTAATATTATATAATTGATATGTATATGTGTTTATGTACATGTATATCTTTTATAGACCTTAGAGAAGACAATGATGCTGGGGAAAATGGAAGGAAAAAGGAAGAGGGGCCGACCAAAGGCGAGATGGATGGATGGTATCCTTGAAGTGACTGGATTGACCTTGAAGGAGCTGGAGGTGGTGACGGCCGACAGGGATCTCTGGTCCTTGAGGTCACGAAGAGTCGGAAACGACTGAACGAATGAACAACAACAAAAAGAATCCCACACCTTGTGTAAATGTGGAGCAGAACAGACAACTCCGCATCTCTGTGCTTGTCCACGATGCCCTGCCTCATGCACAGAGAAAGAATTGTTGGAGGCTACAGACAATGTCGTTGCTGTTGCCCGTTTTGGGTCAAAAGATATTGAGTCATCTGCGCTCCTTCTATTTTTATCAGTTTTATACTAATTTACTAGCTGTACCCGCTATGCGTTGCTGTGGCCAACCTTCTTTCTCCCACCCTGGACCTTCAACAGATATATAATCCCCACTTGCCTCGTTTCCAACAGACCTCACAACCTCTGTGGATGCCTGCCATAGATGTGGGCGAAATGTCAGGAGAGAGTGCTTCTGGCCAGAAAATGCACAGCAACCCAGTGATTCTGGTCATGAAAGCCTTTGACAACAAGGATGATAAAAACACCAAAACATCCGGGCAATGTCCCCTGGGCAACGTCCTTGCAGACAGCCAATTCTCTCACACAAGAAGCGACTTGCAGTTTCTCAAGTTGCTCCTGACACAACAATAATAATAATAATTCAAACCTAAAATATACAAACACTAAAAAAGAATTAAATATGAACAGTATTAAAATATGCAATTCTATTTGTCTATTTTGGAAAATATGTGAATTTCTTATGCCATTCCTTATTGCAACCTTTCTCAAAACTTGCGGAAACTTTGCCGTCTCGAATCCGGTGAAAGCCTCCCTCTAACTTTTGATTGCTTTGGGAAATCAGCAAATGTGAAAAACCTCATAAGCCTGCCTGTCAGCTGTCACATCTAATGCCGGCGCATATCACAGTCAAATATTGATTGCTGGATGCCAAATATTGAGATAGAATGCAATACAGAAACCAAATCTCTTTGGAAAATATTTGAGAGTCACGCGAAGGGCCTCCATCCTGTCGTGAGCCCCAAAGTAAAGGAGAGCCATTGAAACCAAGGCAGCGAGATCGGTATTGATTTTAGAGCGTTATCTTTGATTCAGTGGGTCTCCGACTGTTAGGATTAGAAACGGGATTTAAGGCGTCTCTCCGGTTCATTTTGTGATGTGCACGGAAACCTTGAGCATTGCATGGGAGCGTTTGTAGGGCACGAACTCTCCCGCTGTTTAAGGAACGGAATAGTTCCTTAAAGGGAAGGAAAGCAGTTGGGTTGGATAGGAAGGAAAGTTGACTAAACAGGGGCATTTATTTATTTATTTATTTATTTATTTATTTATTTATTCTCCCCTTGAGTGATGACCCTGACCTCTGATCTCTTGCCCCTCTGAATGATGCTTCTCTCTGCCCTGTGCCTGGGTTGCCCTGACTTGACTCTCGTGACCCTGTTGACTGATGATCCCTTCTCCTCCTGCTGATTTCTTCGCCTTTCCTTTCCCCCCGCCTGGTCCTCTCCCCCCCTTGAGATTTGCTGACCCGAATTCTGTTGACTGATCCCCCTCCACTGATTGCTGACTTCTGACTCTCCTTTTGACCTTGAAACTCCCTGTTGCATATGCGCTCCTCCCCCGGCTCCTGGCTTCTGCTCCCTCCCTGACTTTGTGATTCACGTACCCTGTCCTGCCGCTCTCCTTTCCCTCTCGCTCTGTCAGAAAATTACCAATACAGACCACACTTGGCACACAGAGCCCCCATGACCCACTCGACATCCTACTGCAGTTTGGAGGAGGATGAACCATGGATGATGGGACTTGCAGTACCATCACTCACATTCTGAGACCGCTGTTAACCTCATCCAATGACTGATCAGGACCAAACTTGGCACATAGACCTCTCATGACCCACTTTATGTCCTGGTGTGGTTTGGCCGGGGATGGACCATGGAGTATGGGACTTGCAGTACCTTTGCTCAATTCCTGAGACCACTGCAACCCTCATCCAATTACCGATAAAGACCAAACTTGGCACACTGAGTCTCCATGATGCACTCTACATCCTGGTGCAGTTTGGAGGAGGATGCACCATGGACGATGGGATTTGCAATACCTGCACTCCCTTCCTGAGACCATTACAAATGCCAACAATGATGGATCAGGACCACAATTCACACAGAGAACCCGCATGACCCACTCTACATCCTGGTGCGGTTTGGAAGAATTTGACAATGGATGATGGGACTTGCAGTCACTTCACTCACTTCCTGAGACCACTGAGACCCTCGCCAATGACTCATCAAGACTAAACTTGGCACATGGAGCTTCAATGACCCACTCTACATCCTGGAGCAGTTTGGAGGACGACAGACCATGGATGATGGGACTTCAAGTACCTCCACTACCCAAGACTGCTGCAAAACTCATCTAATGACCAATCAAGACCAAAGTTGACACACAGAGCCCCCATGACCCACTCTACATCCTGCTACAGTTTTGGAGAAGGGTGGACCATGGATGATGGAACTTCCAGTACCTTCACTCACATTCTGAGACCTCTGCAAACCTCATCCAATGACGGATCAAGACCAAACTTGGCACATAGACCTCTCATGACCCACTTTACGTCCTGGTGTTGTTTGGAAAAATTTGGAGATGGATGATGGGACTTGCAGTACCTTTGCTCACTTCCTGAGACCACTGAGACCCTCGCCAATGACTCATCAAGACTAAACTTGGCACATGGAGCTTCAATGACCCACTCTACATCCTGGAGCAGTTTGGAGGACGACAGACCATGGATGATGGGACTTCAAGTACCTCCACTACCCAAGACTGCTGCAAAACTCATCTAATGACCAATCAAGACCAAAGTTGGCACACAGAGCCCCCATGACCCACTCTACATCCTGCTACAGTTTTGGAGAAGGGTGGACCATGGATGATGGAACTTCCAGTACCTTCACTCACATTCTGAGACCTCTGCAAACCTCATCCAATGACGGATCAAGACCCAACTTGGCACATAGACCTCTCATGACCCACATTACGTCCTGGTGTTGTTTGGAACACTTTGGAGATGGATGATGGGACTTGCAGTATCTTTGCTCACTTCCTGAGACCACTGAGACCCTCGCCAATGAGTCATCAAGACTACATTTGGCACATGGAGCTCCAATGACCCACTCTACATCCTGGTGCAGTTTGGAGGAGGACAGACCATGGATGATGGGACTTCAAGTACCTCCACTCCCTTCCGAAGATTGCTGCAAACCTCTTCTAATGACCAATCAAGACCACACTTGGCACACAGAGCCCCCATGATCCACTCTACATCCTGCTGCAGTTTGAAGGGGGATGGACTTTGGATGATGGGACTTGCAGTACCTTCACTCACTTACTGACACCACTGCCACCCTCATCTAATGACTGATAAAGACCAAACTTGGCACACAGAGCCCCCATGACCCACTCTATATCCTGCTGCTGTTTGTAGGAGGATGGGCCATGGATGATGGGACTTCAAGTACCTTCACTCACTTCCTGAAAATAATGCAGCCGTTATCCAAAGACCAATAAAGACCAAACTTGGCATACAGAACCGCCATTACCCACTTTCTCTAATAACCCGGGCAACGCCGGGTCCCCAAGCTAGTAAATAAATAAACGGAGGCTGTGCGACTTAGGCCAGATGATGAGAAGACTCCACTCATTAGAAAATTACAATAATACAGTAGAAGACAGTAGACTGCAGAAAAAGCGGAAGACGATACTGGAGATGGATAAACTCCATCAAGCAATCCCTGGGGCTGCGGCTTAAAGAGTTAGGCATGTTTAGCCTGAAGAAGAGAAGGCTGAGAGGAGACATGATAGCCATGCATAAGTATGTGAGAGGAAAGCATAGGGAGGAGGGAGGAAGCTTGTTTTCTGCTGCCCTGGAGACTAGGATGCAGAACAATGGCTTCAAACTACAAGAAAGGAGATTCCACCTGAACATTAGGAAGAACTTCTTGACTGTGAGAGCCGTTCAGCAGTGGAACTCTCTGCCCCTGAGTGTGGTGGAGGCTCCTTCTTTGGAGGCTTTTAAACAGAGGCTGGATGGCTATCTGTCGGGTGTGCTTTGAATACAATATTCCTGCTTCTAGGCAGGAGGTTGGACTGGATCTAGCTTTCTATAGGTAAGCGTGGAGGTCTCTCATTCATGCAGTCGCCCCACGTCAAAGTCCACTCCAGAACAGTTTAACAACAAGGGGAGCCAATGGGAAACCCTCCCTTCCCCTCCCAACCCGTACCTTTCCCCGTTTGGGAAACTCACCGGAGGCTTCCAGGGGCTCCACCTGCAAGCAGAAAGGGCAGCCAGGAAAGCGCCAGGAGGCCGGGCAGCATGCTGGGCGCAAGGGGCAGCAGGTGGGCAGTGCTGGGAAGGGAAGGGAGGCGAGGGCAAGCCAAGCGGGCCAGGAGGGCAGGACCCTCGCCCTCTTCAGCCCAAAGCAGGTCTCCTGGGAAGAGGGGCGTCTCTGCGGGCGCTGCTCTGGGGAGACTTCAAGGGCTCCCACTCCGGGATCCTGGGCGGAGAGGCAAGAAGGGAAAGAGGGAACCCCGGGCGGCCAGGGAGCAAAGCCCAGGCTTCGGGTCTGCGCCGTTTGGCGGGGGGCGGGCCAGGCCTTTGCATTATATTGCATTGCATTGCATTGCATTGGTGGAGAGACGCCCCCGTTCATCTCCCCCTTCTCCCCAGCTCAGCCCCAAACTTGCATGAGCCAGGCTCTCTCTCTCGAAACAGGAGCGCGCTGAACGAGACAGAAGTTCAGTTTATTGTCGAAAGCTTTCATGGCCGGAGTCACTGGGTTGTTGTAGGCTTTTCGGGCTGTATGGCCATGTTCCAGAAGCATTCTCTCCTGACGTTTCACCTGCATTTATGGCAGGCATCCTCAGAGGTTGTGTGGTCTGTTGGAAACTAGGAGAATAGAGTTTATATATCTGTGGAAAGTCCAGGGTGGGAGAAAGAACTCTTGTCTGTTGGAGGCAAGTATATTTATCGTGTCATCAGCAACCATTGTATCACAATTCTAACAGAGCAAAACAAACACACAGATTAAAAAGAAAAAGAAAAAAAAACCACAGATTTTGCAAATTTGGTATTTGGTTAAATGTCCTTTGACCAGTATCTGGCCACTTGGAGTGCCTCTGGGGTTGCCGCAAGAAGGTCCTCCATTGTGCATGTGGCAGGGCTCAGGGTGCATTGCAGCAGGTGGTCAGTGGTTTGCTCTTCTCCACACTCGCATGCCGAGGATTCCACCCTGTAGCCCCATTTCTTAAGATTGGCTCTGCATCTTGTGGTGCCAGAGCACAGTCTGTTCAGCGCCTTCCAAGTCGCCCAGAGACGACTTGGAGGCAAGTGTGAATGTTTCAGTTGGCCACCTTGATTAGCATTTGATGGCCTGACATTTTTAAGGTCTAGTTTGTTACTGCTTGGTGGAATCCTTTGTTGAGAGGTGATTAGCTGTCCCTGATTGCTTCCTGTCTGGAGTTCTCTTGTTTTTGAGTTTTGTTGTTTAATTACTGTTATAGAGTTTTTTTTAATACTGGTAGCCAGATTTTCTTCATGTTCATGGTTTCCTCCTTTCTGTTGAAATTGTCCATATGCTTGTGGATTTCAATGGCTTCTCTATGTAGCCTGGCATGGTACTTGTTAAAGTGGTCCAGCATTTCTGGGTTCTCAAATAATACACTGTGTCCAGGTTGGTTCATCAGGTGCTCTGCTATGGCTGACTTCCCAGGTTGAATTAGTCCGCAGTGCCTTTCATGTTCCTTGATTCATGTTTGGACACGGTGCTTGGTGGTTCCTATGCAGACTTGTCCACAGCCACATGGTATACGGTAGAGCAGTGGTTCTCAACCTGTGGGTCTCCAAGTGTTTTGGCCTCAACTCCCAGAAATCCCAGACAATTTACCAGCTGTTAGGATTTCTGGGAGTTGAAGGCCAAAACAGCTGGGACCCACAGGTTGAGAACCACAGCTGCATGGTATATGGCAGACTCCTGCAGAGGTGAGAGGATCCCTCTTGTCCTTTGCTGAATGTAGCATTTTTTGGGTTTTCTTAGTGGGTCTGCAGATAGTTTGTAGGTTGTGTTACCTCATCAGCTTCTCTATGCAGACAGTGGTTCCCCTGATGTATGGTAAGGGCACTTTTCCTCTGGTGGATCTTTATCTTTACTCTCATGGCTTGTTCTTGGTCTTGCAGCTCTTCTGATATCTGTGGTGGAGTATCCACTGTAAAGCCCAATTTAGAAACACACCTTAAGCATCCAAAGAAAAGGGAGGCTAAGAGACTACAAACCCATCATGTAGATGTCATTCATTTTCAAGGTCTACCCCCTGTAATTCTGGGGAATCAAGTTCAATTAGGGAGGGAGAATTCTTACTTGGGGAGTAATTCTCTTGTTACATGCTTTCTTGGATGAATTGATGGATTCTTTTCTTACAATAAACCTGAGAAATATACAAAGAAAAACCTCAAAAAAGAGTACATTTTGTTTCTTCTCAGGACCTCATCACACTAGAAAATGGGTCCACTTTTAATCTGGTTGCTGCCTCCTGCAGAATTCTGGGGTTTGTAGTTTAGGGAGGAGCCTTTAACAGCCTCACTAAACTACAAACCCCAGAATTCTGCAGGAGGCAGAAATTGGATTTAAAGTGGATTCATTCTCTAATGTGATGAAGTAGTTTCTTTTGAATTAAGAAGAGTAAACTACTTGTTCTTTACTGTTCATCTGTGTGGCATATTTTGTTTCCCTGGCAAGGCAAAGTATAAGCTGATCCAATGTGAACTACACTGTGGCTGATTTTACATTCCACCACTTTTTGACCACGGAACACGTTGACCAGGGACCACTCTCCAACTTTAGTACCAAAAGGGTCACAAATCAGTTTTTGCTCAACTTTATATTCAGTTCGGTTATTTGGGGTGCTGATTCAGAAAACTGCATTGGATAGACCACATCAGCTTTAGTTTCTGATACAGAACATATCCCACCAAGTAATTGCCATCTGTTTGCCCACAGAAAATTATGTTTTTACAGAGAAAATTATGTTTATACAGAGCGGATGCGGTCTATCCAATGCAAGTTTCTGAATCAACACCCCAAATTACCCCAGGAACAGTCGTAAAAACAGACCTAAAGGCGCCACAGCTCCCCTCATGGGGAGGGATGGAGGGAGGAGGAGAAACTGCAGCCAGGAAGCTTCTTGTTGCACCTTTTGTGGGTAGTCAGCCTCTCCCTTCCTGACATCTCCATTGCCTCCGCACTGAAAACAGAAGCAGCTCAATGTAATTCTTGGGATCAGCACATAATAAAAACAACTACCGTTTAAAATATTTCCACCCCAGCATAGATGCCCTTTAAACATTAAAAATTTGTTCTTCCGATCTGAATATCTCAAGAGAGATGGCTGATCCAAACAGGGACAGGGTTCAGTGTCACTATTGAATTGCTTCGGCATGACCATGATTATTGGAGGGACTCTACTGGACCTAAACCGACATTTCTCACTGAGAATAAAGATGGAGCTTGTTATCTGGAACCCTGAAGCAGAAATCCCCACATAGATGGCAGACCCAATCTTCTGGTCATGTGGAAGTTAAGGCAATTCAAAAGATTCAGGGAACACAATCCCTTCATTTACTAGGACAGAATACATATTCCACCAAAGTGGGATAAGAATGATTAAACCAGAAAATAAATTAAGAATTCCCCCAACACATAAAAAATTAAGCAACACATTTTTGGTCTTCTTTTTGGTAAAGATTCCATAAGGCAAAATACACGAAAGCTAGTGCTAAAGATACTACAATACAAGCTAAAGACTTCAAGTCTTGTGCAAAGAAAATTTCCATTGGGAGTCCATCCTGGAATTCCAGGCACTGCCTCTCTGTGGGCTCGACTTCAGGTCTCTCAAAGCAGACTCCCCAGATCCTGACCCAGATCTTGCCAGTGTCGATGCCAGGAATGGGATGCCAGACTCTCCATTCATCCACTCGCATGGCAGTCAGGCACAGGACCCAAACAATGACCGCGAGGACAAATCCGATGAAACATATGTAGATCAGTTGGATGAGCCGTGGTGCAGCTAGAAAGTCGCCTTCAGCCAAGCCTAATTTCCGCCTTAGCCACTTCTCCATGCTGAGAAATCTGCGGACAATGAAACAAGGTTTACTATTTATGGAGTTATGCACATGCCCATTCTCTCACGTGGGAACCTCCCTTCTGTTTGGGAAACATTGTGATACATAGGGAAACCCTTGTTCTGTGACAAATGACCCCATGTCCGACTTGACTCACAGAAATGGATAGCCTGCTGTAACACATGTCAAGATTCATTCCCTCTGTTGACATTGTGTCTGTTGCCAGGAATGGACTGGACGAGGGCAAAGAAATTGAAGAGTGATCCAGACAACACAGGAATTCTCCTGATCAGGCTAGGGAATGGGGACCTGACCTGCGTGGGATGGGATTCAACCAGGGGAGAGATATCAACAAAGAATGATTTCTGCAGCTCTTTCAAATGGGTATCTGACCTGAAACACAAGACTTGAATATGGCTGGTGATCTGTAAAACAGAAAACTGTAATATGGTACAGGCTCTTTGAGACTTAAGAGCTGAACCTGGCTTGCAATCCCTCCAAGAAGCACCTGAACAACAGACCAGCACCGTTGACCTTTGAACGGGGTGCCATGGAAACTGCTCTTTAAGTTCTGAAACGGTTTAGAATGTTGTCCATAACTGAAAACCTTAAGACCAAAAGATCGAAGGCAGATCCCAGGCTGAACATTGGGGCCTTTGCAGGGGTGGGGGCTCCTGGTCCCCCAAATATTTAGGAGTAGTGCTCCCTTAACACCAGGTGGACAATGAGGGACTGATGGGAATGGGAGTTTAAAGGCAAAGGTGCCCTGACTTGGTGTATTTCTTCATAGTCGCTCCAGGCCCATGTCGAAAACATGCAAATGTGAGTAGATCAATAGGTACTGCTCCGGCGGGAAGGTAACAATGCTCCATGCAGTCGTGCCAGCCACATGACCTTGGAGGTGTCTGTGGACAACGCTGGCTCTTCAGCTTAGAAATGGAGATGAGCACCAACCCTCAGAGCTCACTCAATGTCCTTTTAGAGAGATTTAAAATGGTATTTCTTTGTCCATATGAGAGACCTTCTTTTCAGCAGCCAAGATTCAAATCAGTCTCTCTCTCTCCATCTCTCTTCCAACACCTGCATAACTCAAAACTGTAAAATGCAACAGTATCAAAAAGTCCCAGGCTCAGACATGACCCCGTGAGTTGCCTGACCAATCGGCTTCATGCACTTTATTTTGCAATTGACATATACACATTCACTGATTGTTTGCATGCCCTAATTAAAAAAAAAAGGTTGGGAACCACTGGTATAGATGAATCCATGGTTTTATGTTCAGTGGTAGCAGATGGATTCCATGTCAGTGAATCTGTGCTGAGTTTGAGTCTAAATTTTAATGAGGATGAGCATCTTGTAGTTCAGATTAAATTCTAGAATGAATCCAGTGCCTCCTTAGCATTGGTGGCAACAGCCGGCACTCAAAAGGTGTTTGAAACCCATCTATTACAGTTGGTAAAATTAGTGTCAGACTGGG